AAAATGTAAAAAGACGAAGTTGTGAAGAAAAGAATAATGAATACACATAGGAATGAAAGAGGGAACGGGAGTTTAGAAGTAGGGAAGAAAAGCATGAAATATGAAAGGGTAGGTAGAATAAGAAAGAAAGAAAAGAGTAAAAAGAGTAAGAAAGAATAGAGTAAAATAGGAGAAAGAAAGAAAGAAAAAAGAAAGAAAGAAAGAAAGAATAGAGTATAAAAAAAGAAGGAAAAAGAAATAAAGAATAAAAAGTAGAAAGAAAGAAAGACAAATAAAAAAGAAAAAAAAAGAAAGACTAGAATAAAAAAGAAAGAAAGAACGATAGAAAGGAAGAAGGAAAGTATAAAAGAAGAAAGAAAAAAGAAATAAAGAATAAAATAAAAAATAGGAAGAAAGAAAGAAAAAGAAAAAAGAAAGAAAGAATGAAAAAGAAAGAATAGAATAAAAAAGAGAAAGAAAGAATAGAGTATAAAAGAAGAATGAAAAAAGAAAGAAAGAATAAAATAAAAAGTAGAAAGAAAGAGAAAGAAAGAAAAAATGAAAAAGAAAGAAAGAAAAAAGAAAGAATAGAATAAAAAAGGGAAAGAAAGAATAGAGTATAAAAGAAGAAAGAAAGAATAAAATAAAAAGCAGAAAGAAAGAAAGAAAGAAAAATAAAAAAGAGAAAGAAAGAAAGAATAAAATAAAAAGTCGAAAGAAAGAAAGAAAAATAAAAAAGAAAGAAAGAAAAAGGCGACTAGAATAAAAAAGGAAAGAAAGAAAAAATAGAGTATAAAAGAAGAAAGAAAAAAGAAATATAGAATAAAATAAAAAGTAGAAAGAAAGAAAGAAAAACAAAAAAGAAAGAAAGAAAAAAAAAGAATAGAATAAAAAAGTGAAAGAAAGAAAGAAAGAAAAAAGAAATATAAAGGAGAAAGAAAGAAAAAGAAAAGAAAGAAAGAAAGAAAGAACAGAATAAAAAAAAAAAGAAAGAAAGAAAATTAGAAAGAAAGAACCCGAGAAAGACGGGTGTAATAATAAATGGGGAGGGGGAAATTGCTAATGGGAAAGGAGGAAAAAAGAAGAAAAATAGAAGCATCAAAAATCAAAGAACCGTTTAGAAGAAGAGAAAGAGAAAGAGAAAGAGAAAGAGAGTGGGTGAAGAAAGAAAGAAAAATACAAAGAAAATAAACACAGAAGAAAAGAAACACAGAATAAAGACAGATAGAAAGTAACGTAGAAAAACAAAAAGAAAAGCCATCTCTATTCAAAGAACTTAAATCTTGCTCACTTATTTTAGTGTATCATTTTCCTTACAATTATTGTTACGTGAGGCAAATAATAACAAATACCTTAAACAAATTAACTGTGTCCTTTATAGCCATCTGCCTTTTATATTATTACCAACTTCATCTATATTTATTATGCCTGTATGTTTGTCGATGGCGAAATCCTCTAAGGCTGCTAACAGGTCGATTACGAATATGTCTGGCTATACTGTTTTATTTCTGTTTAAAATATTCAGTGTTGATTTTACTTCTGATTTTAATATTTCTGTTCCTTCGATATTTCTATGTATTTTCGGTTGTCTTCTTTCGACGTGAAAGAGTCCTCCGATATATTCCGTTCATCTCCGAAATATTTTATTTCTTTCTCTAATATCAGTGTCCCGTTCCTGGATTTTATGCATCCTGTTGTTGAAACATGTCTTTTGTCCTGTTAGTCCTCTTATTTTTTTTTCTATGCATATCTGCTTTATTTATGATAACCATTCTATTTCCGCACACTTTACGTTGAGCCGTTCCTCTATGACTCGCCTGCATTTGTTCTTAATTTCTTTATACAGAGTCCGGTATTGCGTCTTATTGTCTTTTGTCTCGTTTTCATCAAGTTGAGACTTTTGTTTGTCATCCATTCTTTAAGTGTTTGTCTATTTTTCTTTGGGATGATCTCGATTGCTGATGTGTCCAAAGACTCCCTGAGTTTCCATTCTCATTATATCCACTGTATATGCTTTTATCAGTGCCTGTATATTTCTCCTTCCCATTCGTGTCATTCAGGAGTCTGTCTTATTGCAATTTGGGTACTGCATTAGTCTACTTCAATGTCCGTAGTGACACTCTAAGTTTACATATAAATGGAAGGTGATCGCTCCCGCAGTCAGCACTTGGATGTTTTACAGTGTAAAATTACATTCCTAGACCTCTTGTTGATAGTTATGTAGCCGATTTGTTTTCTGCTTGGGTTCTCTATGTCCATATACGTCTTCGGTGTCCTGGAAACCAAGTCTTGGCTACTATCTAATCTTTGCATGGTTAGAGTTATTTTTCTGCACGTTCATTACAAATTATGAATTTCTCAACTATTTCACCATCTCTCTCTCTCTCTCTTTGCCTAATTTGGCATTCAGGTCTCCTATGACAATCGTAACTTATTGCGTTTTGCATCTAGTACTTTTTATAGTCAACTAAGATGTTTCTTTTTTGTTTAGTATTTTTTTTTTTTACATTTTTGTTACATTTATCAATTAAAGATAACTTTAATAAAACATTTCACCTTATTCGTTTCAGTGGAGACCAAAATGGCAGCATATATTTTCTCAACTGAATTATTTAATGACATTCTCATTATCTTTGGATGAATATTCTCCAATAAAAAAAAGAAACGTGCATGAGGGCCACAAAATAGTGTGGCATTTTTACGGAAAACAATTTGGACGGAAAAAAGAAAGCGTGGCAGACCGAGTGGGGCAGCGGTTTCTATAATAGTCGACTAAATTTGCATAATAAAATTGATAAATAATTTAAATTGTTTGTAATAGATTTTAAAATTAAATTCAACTTCATGATAAATACTAGTAAATTTGCATAACTTCTAGTTTTTGATCTTCGATTCATTGCTTTGAACCCATTTTATAAGGTTCGAAAAACTCATTTAAGTGACGCGCTAATCAATTTACTCCTTTAGATAAATTATGAAACAAGTAGCAAAATAATCGTTCTACGTAACCCGGTTAATCAAAATAAGTGCTGTATAATTTCTGCGGAAGTGTTGCAGAAGAGCGTGTTACACTGGAGGATTCGAGAAATACAATATATTGGGGAAGGTGAAAAGGTCATACGTAAGAATCGTTCGTCATATAAGGAAAATAGGCAAAACCCATGCGCTGCCAAAATACAGGCATTCTGTGATCGAGAGGTCCAAAGCACGTCAGAACTAATGATAGCTTCCCATAGAAGAAGGCGGGTTCGAATCCTGCCAGGAGTAGCATATTTTTCTTTAATAAGATTTCTGAAATATTCAGGCTGGTAGATAAAAATAAATAAATATACTCCTTAATAAATACAGAGCGTCTACTCAACTATGAGTATCCATTAAAAATAACGGTTATATAATATATAATAATTTTATGGGACTATACAATACACACAGACAGAACAATCAAAGCTAAAGGCCCAGACATTGTTATTAGAGACATCAAACAAAAACAAAGTCCCCCACTTATTCATATGAAAATCCCTGCGGACTGCAATGTATCTTTGAAGATCTTCAAAAAAACCATCAAAATACAAGGACCTTGAAATCGAAATCTCAAAAAAAATCGAAACAGACACTATTGTCACGACTGTCGATTAGTTGTCTTATGGCCATTGTTTCCGACGGAGAGCAAAATTGTTTCTCTAGAATGGTTAAAAGATAGCAGTTTCGTTTCGGAGCCGTTAAAATTTACAAGTCGTTTCTTGCTCGAGCTAACAACAGAATGAATGTCATTTGCGAGCAACGGTTAAGAGAAGGCAATAAAAAGAATATAATCCAAAGAGATAGAAGAAAGCGGTTAACGATTGTCGATTGTTCACCCTTGTGCAAATTAATTGAAACAACCGCTTTATTTTCCTTTCTTTCACCATTCAGTCAATTTTAGACCCACTGAAGTGACAGAGTGTAATTGATTTCTATTTTTCCCTCAGATTCGGTCATTTGCAGTGGCATGCAGTAATATGAATGCATTTTTGGGGTGTATAATGAAATTTGTTTGGCCTAGAAAATACTGCGTCATCCGTGATTGCATCAGATTTTTATCTAGCTCAGAAAAATATTGTCTCGACTGTTGATTAGTTGTCCTACGGCCATTGTCTGCGATGAACCTTCCAATGAAGCCTAGGAAAATTGTATCGCTGTATGAACACACTAGTAAGCCTTACCAATGAGCAAAGCAAATTACTATAGGCTGACCAGGAAGCACTCCTGATTTAAATCCAGTCGAGAATTTGGGGTCAATCAGCAAGGAACAACTTCATGGAATGGAGATTAGAATTACTATCATGTGCTCTGGGTCATGTTTCATTCGAAAAATACGAAAAAAAAAAAGGTAAATAATAACGGAATTATTCGTATTGTTTCAATTAATTTGCACAGTGGTGTACTTCATCAGGCCGATCGGACTTTAATGCTAAAATCTAAGCAATTATTTAACTCACTTTGCTAGTTCCAGGTGTACGGCCATATCACGTTGAAACATCGGTTCTCGTCTGATCACCAATGTTAAGCAACGATGAACCTGGTCAGTACTCAGATGTATGTTCACTCGGGAATACCAGGTGCTGTAAGCTTTGATGCGCGGATAGTGTGATGGATAAAGTCTCGGAATTTTTAAATTGGGAGCTGTGTTCAAAATCCTACTGGATTAGTTATATTTTCTTACGAAATGGGCGTAGGAAAGGTATAAATCTACATCATATTTCCCCCCAACTATGGGTTAATTAGTAGGGCGTATCAGAAAATTGTTATTATCTCCAAAAACCTCTTACATTCCAGTAATAGAGTTCGGAATTAAATAACCTGACAAAGTTTGCTAAACCGTGAAAGACAAATAATAAAAAAAAAATACTGGTTCCATTGATCGTGTAGGTAATCGCTACATGACATTAAGAAGGTTGTTATGTTTCGAGTCGAAACGTAATTCCTGGCCTGGTTCCTTCATGAAGCCGTTGGTATTATTCCTCTTTTGGTATTATGGTAAACTACATCTGGCAACAAGGTCTCGGGAGGTCTTGAGGAGCGTGGAACGATCTCTTAATTTCTGTTGTTTCCAGGTTCAAACTGATTCGGGGTGGTAGTACCTGTTAGGGTCCCAACTGTGGGCAAGTAGTTACCCCCCCCCCAAAAAAAAATGGTCTCAAAAAAATATAAAGTATAAAAATATATTTCTATAGTATAAACATCAGCCACACATTTTCATAGTAAAAAAAAAAAAAAAAACCTTTATCCACTAGGCGTAGTAACGCCTTTTATCCAATGTGCCATGTATCCTTGAGGACACATGTCACAGTTGATAGAGGCGTTGGTTAGATCCAGTGACAGTAACCATAGAGTGTGAGTTCAATACCCGGTTAAGGCAGTGGAGAACTTTCAGAGAGAAATTAACAGGAGATAACTGCTAACTGACAAGGCACGTGGAACTAGAACAGTCTACCCCTAGTGAGCGAAATAAAGGGTTCAGTTCGACATTCCAACCACCTGAAGAAGGCCGGAGCGTACAACGGCCGAAACGTTGTGATAAATATGGCGACAAAGATGAGGACAATATGTCCGAATAATATAAATAATGTACATAATACCTCATCTCAGAAATATAGGCGATAGAACTTTCAGAGGGGAATTAACAGGAGATAACTTCTAACTGACATCCATTAAACATGGCACGTGGAACTAGAACTATTTACCCCAGTGAGCGAAATAAAGGGTTAAGTTCGACATTCCAACCATCTGAAGAAGGCCGGAGCATACAAGGTCCGAAACGTTGTAATATAATATGGCGACAAATATGAGGACAATAGTCCGAATAATGTAAATAATGTACCAGCAATATGTTTGTGTAAAAGTAATTACAAGTGCTCCCAAGGAAATTAGATTTCGACATTAAATGACCCATAAAGGTGTTGATGTGCCGCAAAACAAAGAAACAATTTTTTTTCTATATTGTATCAATTCCATTTCTAGATTTTTTTTTTTTTCCGTTTTTTTTCTGCGAGACTTCCAACAGTAAACTTACTTACATTTATTTCTGGCTGTTCGTAACCAGAGGACAACCTTCTCATCAGTATTGTATTCGCTTACCTGTGTTACAGAAAGTCTTGCAACTCTAATCCCTGGACTTACCGGCCGTTTTCTGTAGCCTCTTTGCGTGGGACTGCTTTACCGTAGAAAAGACGTTTATTATTCTCTCTGCATTTTCGGATTACGGTAGCATTAGAAACGTCATCCTCCATAATCTCGTTAGAATTGCCTACCGTCACAGAGGGACGACGTGGTCCCTCCTGTGGGCTATCAAGCAAAAACCGTTCGATCAGGACGCTCAAATCTGTAATTTAATACCCGTGTGTTTAGGGTATCATTTCATTTTCTTTCATCATTATTAGCGATGTGATACGAATACGCTGAAACCAGATTTTTTGTTGCCCGATATGTCTGGCGTATGGATGTGGTTCTTTTTGTTATGATATCACCTACGGTGCAGTGTCGACCCCATGCTAAAAAAATGTTTTATTGTTTTTACCAACAACAATGGCAATAATAATTTTAATAAACACAACGAGTCACATGTGTTCCAGTAAATTTTAAAATTCACCAGTGTTAAGATTAAATCGAAATAGTTATATGTTTAAGGAAACATGAGATAATGGATTAATTTCGTTGTTATTGTTATTATTATTAATTATTATTATTATTAATTATTATTATTATTAATTATTATTATTAATTATTATTAGATATTATTATTAATTGTTATTATTATTATTAATTATTATTAATTATTATTATTATTATTATTAATTATTATTATTATTAATTGTTATTATTATTATTGATTATTATTATTATTAAATTATTATTATTAATTATTATTATTATTATTAATTATTATTATTATTAATTGTTATTATTATTATTAATTATTATTATTGTTAATTATTAATTATTATTATTATTAATTATTATTATTATTAATTATTATTAATTATTATTATTATTAATTATCATTATTATTAATTATTAATTATTATTATTATTATTATTTATTATTATTTATTATTATTATTATTAATTATTATTAATTATTATTATTAATTATTAATTATTATTATTATTAATTATTATTTTGACATTCCAAGTTCTTCTTGTCAACTTTCTTCATACAGACATTTTTTTTTAATGTTAAAAAACAACTTCAATAACTAAATAAATATATTTTTAAAATAACTCTACTTTCACAAACTCTATTTATATTATTCATCTTTGTCGCCATATTCATCACAGCGTTTCGGCCGTTGTACGCTCCGGCCTTCTTCAGGCGGTTGGAATGTCGAACCGAAACGTTTATTTATCTCACTGGTGTCCACCTGCCATGTTTAATGGATGCCAGTTATTCCCCTCTCCAAGTTCTTCACTGCCTTAACCGGGTATTGAACTCACACTCTTTGGGTCTGTCACTGGATCTAACCAACGCCTTTATCCACTGTGCCATTGAAATATGTAAATAGTGTACATAATACCTCATCTCAGAAATATAGACAGATACTTTCACAAACTCTTCTTGAAACTAAATGTAAACAGTAAACACAACAAGTTTGACCCAAAGAGTCACATGTGGTTCAATAAATTTTAAATTTCACCAGTGTTAAGATTACATTTGGAAAGTAGATTAAATCGAATTAGTTAAATGTTTAACATGCGATAATGGATTAATTTCGTCGTTATTATTATTATTATTATTAGTAGTAGTAGTAGTAGTAGTATTAACAATCTATTATTATTATTGTTATTATTATTATTAACAATCTATTATTATTATTGTTATTATTAGTAGTAGTAGTACTAGTAGTAACAAACTATTATTATTATCATTATTAACAATCTATTATTATTATTAGTAGTAGTAGTAGTAGTATTAACAATCTACTATTATTATTATTATTATTATTAACAATCTATTATTATTGCTATTATTATTAGTAGTATTACTAGTATTAAAAATCTATTATTATTATTATTATTATTAACAATCTATTGTTATTTTTATTATTATTAGTAGTAGTACTAGTATTAACAATCTATTATTATTATTATTATTATTAACAATCTATTATTATTGCTATTATTATTAGTAGTAGTACTAGTATTAAAAAATCTATTATTATTATTAACAATCTATTATTATTATTAGTAGTAGTAGTAGTATTAATAATCTATTATTATTATTATTAATAATCTATTATTATTATTGTTATTATTATTAGTAGTAGTACTAGTATTAACAATCTATTATTATTATTATTATTATTATTAACAATCTATTATTATTAGTAGTAGTAATAATAGTATTAGTAGTATTAACAATCTATTATTATTATTTTTATTATTAGTAGTAGTAGTACTAGTATTAACAATCTATTATTATTATTATTATTAACAATCATTAGCCATTATCCATTACGATCTAATTATTCACTTACGATCTAATACAATCAGATGAGGTATGAGTCGACTTATTCTACTCCCGGCTATAGGTAAATTAGTGAGACTTGTATGACTAAATTGCTTGCTGGCAATCACACATTCTGCCTTATTTCGGTGGATCACAGAATAAAAAGAAATGATAATGAAGAATTAAAGAAACATCAGGACTTAGCGCGGGAGCAAAGAAAAATATATAATATAAATATATTGTCTGTTCATACGTTTTATTTTTATTATTATTATAACAGTTATTAGATATATGATAAAAACTCATCAGGAAGAAAAAGTTCCTCTGGCCCGACGTGAGCGACTAAATTTGCTATTTATTCGGTCAGTCTAGCTCAGACATTGATGAGTCTATCATGCCAACCGTCATGGCCCTTCATCAAGGTCGGAAGGGCGACATCCTGTGTCATAACAGAACCGGTCATTGTAGGTGGTTGTTGGGCTAACTAACCCGTCTTGCACCATGGCTATGCTTCCAGGGCAGTACATCACTCTCAATATCTTGTCTTGCTCGCCAGCAATGTTCTACAAAGCGCATTCTACGTTCGCTTATGATTTTGGAAATAACAGGGATGTGTCCATCTCCATAAATCAGCTACTTGAACTTGCCACGTTTGCTAGTGAATTCATTTTGAAAAAAGCATACAATTTTTTAATTTTTCCGAGGGTCTTTTCGAACCAGACAGCAGCCCCAACGTTTTAATAACAGTAATATATATATATATATATATATATATATATATATATATATATATATATATATATAATTTTTAATAATATGTGGAAATCTCCGCATTTACCTGAAGACGGTCACGAGACCAGAAACACGTGTAGTACAATTATGTAAAACAAAGTATAATATTTTTTTCTAAATAAATCCGCATTACAGAAAAAACGTTTGCGGCACCTCTTTTCTCTTCTTTTTAATATACATACTTTTCTCTCGTTGGAACCACTACAACCTCTTTCTTTTTTATATATATATATATATATATATATATATATATATATATATATATATATATATAATTTTTCATTTTTTTTTTGGAACACATTACTACTGTTTTCATTATATTTATTATCAAAAGGAAAACAATCCTTTTTTTTTATTCTCTTTGTTTGAATTCATTTTTTTTACTATTTATATTTTGGGGGAAATTTTATTAGTTTGCGATAATAGTTTAAATTTTTCATTTGCTTTTAAATTTTAAACACGGATTTGTTTATACCCTTCTTTCTGTCTCTATTTATTTATTTGAAGGGCATTTCTATTCATTTATTCCTTTTAAAAAAATTCTTTTCACAGATTTTAAGCTTTCCATTGTCGATATTGTCCATGTGCTAATTTAAAAAATGTAAACATTTCTTCTTGATTATCAATTAAAACAGAAAGCTGATAAAGCTTTCAGCAAACAAAGATTGAACCAAAAAAATACTTAAAAAGAAGCAAACATTGATAAAGCAAACGACGAAACAAAAGCTAACGCAAGCGATTCAAAGTCTGATTAACATGGCGGACTGTGTCTGCAGACCGCCAGGCGGCGCCATGACATGCCGCAAGAAATATATTCCTTTGGTGCAAAAAAAAAAAAAAGAAAAAAAAGAAAAGAGACATTAATGACTTTTTCCCGCGCAAAAAGAATAGTCACGGTTTGTTATTCAAATTCGACGGTCTTATTAGCCGGAGACGATGTTTTCAATAAGTTGGAACAAAAGGAATCGCAAAAATGAAACTAGATGTAAATGAAGGGAGGAATGAATAAAAGAAATGGTTGGCAAAAGAAGGAATGGAGAAAAAAAGGGGGGAGAAATGAGAGGAAGAGGTATGAGGAAGCGAAAAACATGAGAGGAGAAAGAGAAAGAATTTATTGGTGCGAGCTATTTAACTGTAAAGTTACATACACTTTGTTCCTTTAAGAGATAGATAGATAGATAGATAGATAGATAATGAACAGACTGTGATAGATAGATAGATAGATAGATAGATAGATAGATAGATAGATAATGAGCAGACTGTGATAGATAGATAGATAGATAGATAGATAGATAGATAGATAGATAGATAATGAATAGACAGTGACAGATAGATAGATAATGAGCAGACTGTGATAGATAGATAGATAGATAGATAGATAAAGAGATAGATAGATAGATAGATAGATAGATAGATAGATAGATAATGAGCAGACTGTGCTAGATAGATAGATAGATAGATAGATAGATAGATAGATAGATAGATAGATAGATGTAAACTGACAAACAGGTGAAACAAAGATTGATAAATAGATAGATATTTACATACATATATGCATACGTACATACATACACAAACAGACAGCCGGATATAGATAGATAAATAGAGAGAGAGAGAGAGAGAGGAGAGAGAGAGGAGAGAGAGAGAGATTGAAAGAAAGAGACATTATATTTTGATATATACATAAACAAGCAGACAGCCATATAGAGAAAGATTGATATTGAACATATTTTGATAGATAGATAGATATTGAGCATATTTTGATAGATAGATAGATAGATAGATATTGAACATATTTTGATGGGAAGAAAGAAAGAAAGAAAAAAGAAAGAAAGAAAGAAAGAAAGAAAGTAATTGACATGGATCGATTGATAATGAACAAATTAAAATAGATAAAGAGAGCTACATAGAAAGAGAGAGAGAGAGAGAGAAAAATATTAGGACTAATGCTTCAAAACTCAAATGAAAATTCAGGAATTATGTTTTCCCAAATCTTGGTACATTTGTGCGTTGACTTTTAATAATAATTACTTTCAGTTTTCAGCGAGAGAGAGAGAAAGATCAAAATAGATGTAAACAGACAGACAGCCGGATATAGATAGATAAATAGAGAGAGAGAGAGAAAGAGAGAAAGAAACATTAAACTTATTTTGATACATGCATAAACAAGCAGGCAGCCATATACAGATAGATAGTTACTGAACATATTTTGATAGATAGATAGCTAGATAACAATCAGGTTTAGTAAGATAGTGATGTGGACCCAAAGTTGGGACCACGGAAGGAAAACACGGAACAAGGATTAGAGGTAAGAAAGATATATTAAACAAAAAGGTTACAAAGATAGTGTAAGTGTAAGCGGAGCTTACTATGTGCTAGTGTCCAATATTGGTAGTCGTACGCGGCTGATACTACGGTATTAGAATACTCTCTCTCTCTCTCTCTCTCTCTCTCTTTCCTCCTCTTCTCCTAGAGTATTATATCGCATACTTTATATAGTCCTGGAAGAGTCCATGTTGTAGGTATGTTACGGTCTCACAACACCCCCCCTTCCAAGAGTTTTCTTTTTTTTTTTTTTTTGAAAAGGAGAAAAAAAACATAAAACTGTTAATACTTTTTTCTCTTGGGATTTACGTCGAGCGGTTGAGTAAATTTCCTTTTCCTTCCTGAGCGTCGCACTTCAGGAGAGACTTGGGGCGTGTCGAGATCGAAGTGATCGAAAATTACGTCGATCGGCTCTTCACAGCTATTTTGTAGTGATTCCTCCGATTCCTTCAAACGGCATTTTCTGAGCTGGTTCCAATGGCGTTTGTGAGTGTTTTTCGGTCCTTGGACAATATAGACCAGTTCGCCAATTCTTTGTTTTATGGTGCCTACTTCCCAGAATGTTATGTTGTTTTTGTAAGCCTTGAAAAAGACTTTATCGCCAGGATTGAAATATTTCTTATGAGGCGATACGGTTTTTTTTTTAACTTTGCTTGCCGTGGAATAAGTTTGTCGAAGACAGACTTGATTTTCCTTGCGAACATTGTTTCTGCAGGCGAGCTTCCCATAGGCGTGTTCGGATTAGGGGTTATCCGATACACCTGCAGAAACTGTTGCAATGCTCTATCTGTCGGTGTGCCTAGTGCCTTTTTTAAAGCCCTTTTTAGAGTGTCCACGAACCTTTCGGCCTGGCCATTCGACCTAGGGTGGTACTGAGGCGTTGTAATGTGGTCCACCTGATATGACTTGCAGAAGTCTCTAAATTCACTTGATGTGAATTGAGTGCCTTATATCTGTAACTACACAATCTACCACGCCAAAACGCGCGAATAGCTCGTGTAGAAATCCGATCGTGCAGTTTGTGGTTGGTCTTTTGCATTGTAGGACCTCAGGCCATTTTGAGTGGCTATCCACAACAATGAGGTAGTACATGTTGTCTATAGGCCCTGCAAAATCGACATGAATTCTTTTGCCATGGATGGTCTGTGTTTGGCCATGGTTTGCACGTCGTGGTTGGAGCTTTTTGCTGCAAGCGCGCATCCTTTTGCATGATTCTATCATGTCTATATGTCCTTGTCCATGTTTGGCCAATAAACATAGCAGCGCATGAGGCTTTTCGTACGGTTCTTCCCCGGATGTCCCATGTGAAAATCCCTGAGGATTTTTCTTTGTAGGCTGTTTGGAATCACTACGCGGTCATTGTATAGTAGGACATCATCGCAGAGGGAGAAAACTTCAGGCACATTGGGGTCTTTATTGCGAATTTTGCTTTTTATGGATTGAATGAATTCATCCTCTCGAGACTCCCTTTTTATGTCGGCCAAAGTAACTGGGAGCTCTCTTATGGTACTCGCGATCATGTTTTTGATTTCACAATTTGTCCTTAGAGTAGCAATGATGGAGTCTTCAAAGACTTCTGTATTTTTTGGAATGAGTCTATCTAACTCTTTGTTGATTTGCTCTAGAGCAGCGAAAGGGACATTCCGTTTCTTTTTGAATACCGGTTGTGCACCGTCCTTCACCTTGAACTTAGCTTTCATTTTAGTACATTTCCCAAGGCCGCCAGAAAAAAAAACCTGGGGAAATTGTTGTTTGAGTTCCTTTTTGAGATTTACCAAATTGGACGTTGTACTTTGTATCTTGCGACAAAATGTACTCATTGGGCAATCCCAAAGATTGAATTTTTCTATCCAATCTGTTCCAAATAAGTTATCTGAAGTTTTCAATACGTAGGCTTTGAGCTTTTTGGTAACTCCATTTAGTGTTACTGTAAGTATTACCTCGCCTAAAATGTTAATCTTTTCGCCAGTTACGGATTTTGCTGTTTTATCCGTTTTTAATAAGGTCGGCTTTGTTTAATTTTCGCCAAGTACGCCAGTTAATCGTTGAAAGATCGGAACCCGAGTCAAGCTGGAATTTAATGGAATTATTGAAAATATCCACAGTTACATATTTCCTTAAATTCCTATCGACAATATTGTCAGATTGAGTTTGCCTAATTTTATTTTTGGGTTTTTTCGTTCTGTTGGCGTACCAGCACCGAGTTAAAGTATGCCCATTTTTATTGCAATTTTTGCAATTTTTTTTGTTCTTAACTAGACAGAATTTCATCCAATGCCATTTACCACAATGGTAACATGGTCCCGGCGCTTTCTTTAACCTATTTGGGTTTTGGTTACTGCGGAATTTAGGACATGAGATTTGCCTTTTGTCTTTTTGAGGGGAATAGGAGGTAGACTTGCTTCTGATTTTATTAATCTGAGCCACACCTGATTCCTCGATAGTGTTTGAGTCACACTTTACAGATATTACTCTTTGACAGTCCTCTGCCAGTTTTTGGAGAGTCAATCCTTGTTCGTTCTCAAGCTTGGTCAGTACCCGTCGTCTGACTTCGGCGTCTTCTGCTGATACTAGACCTTGTGCGAAAATTAAGCACTTGAAATCATCGGCAGTCAGTTCGGCTAGTTTAAAATCATTACAGAGCTTGTTTACCGATGCTGCAAACGTTAGAAAATCTTGCTGGTTGTCTTTGACTGTGTTCAGGCATTTCCAACGTTTGTGGAACAAGGTTGTGTTAGGCCCGAATAGTTCCGATAGGAGCTTAATAGTCTCTGAAAAATCCAAGTCAGTGGTTTTCTTGGGTAGTATGAAGTCTACGAACCTACTATGTTCTGTAGTTCCCAGTTTTCTCAATAGTAGACGTACCTTTTTTTTTTTACTGGGCCATTGTTCACAGTCTACGTTGAAAATATCTTCGTAGCGCCTGTAAAAAGCCTCGAACGTTTTGTCGTTCTCTGGTACGTATTCAAAGGTTTCCATTGAATTGTAGATTGTACTCTGGGAGAATATTGTATCTTTTTCAGAGTTTGAGCCTTTTAATGCATTTACGAGTAATTCTTTAAGTTGTTTCTGTTGTAGTTCAGCATTCTGAAGCGTAATTTGTTGGAATTCCATTTGTTGTTTATGTAATTCCAAAAATAGTTGTTGTTGTCTTTCTTCTGATTTTTGTTGCTGATCCAAATGTACTTTTAGCATTTGGACGATTACTTTTTTGAAAATCTTCCATATTTAGACAAACAAAAAAATGACAGCGATTTTTTGTTGCTTTGAAACCCGTGTACCAAGGGAGGTACACAAAAAAAAAAATTTTGATTTTTTTTTTTTCAAAAAAAAAAATATGGACAGACAATTAGTTAAACTAAACTAATTATGTGTTTAGCTTTTTTTTTTGAGATTCCGTGGTTCCGTTAATTTTAACGTAATTGTATAAATTTTCACCACAACTTATTATGTTTTTTTTTTATAGAGGTACAAAAAGAGAAAACTCGCCTCGGTGAATTTGAGGGGAGAATAATTTTATGCACAAGATTCAACTCAATTACATAAAAACTTTTTAGATAGTTTTTTTTCTAAAACTTGAGTCGTAAGTAGTACTTCGGCTCTTGTGTTGTCAGTTTGTTTTATGAACAAACTGTTTTTTTTTTTCTGTGTGTGGGTGTGTAAGAAATCGTTCTCGTTATGTTATTTGGACAGACTTTAATATTCCGTAGATGTCGAATCGCTAGTTCGTCACTGATGTTTGGTATTGGAATATATATTTTTTTTATATGTAGACGCTGGGTGTTGCGTTTAAATCGCTAATGTAGTAATACCAGCTTAATTTCTCGTTCAACACTGCTGTGGGAACGCGTGGAATTTCTGTGTATTTTTTTCGAGTACTCTGTCGCTATTGATATGGTGAGAACGAAATTCTCGAATCTTTCTGTCGCCACTGATGTGGGACTGGTAAGGTATTGAGGTTTTCGACGTGAATGCGTTTCTCGAATTCTTCGTCGCCACTTGATGTGGGACTGGTAAGGTATTGAGGTTTCGGGTGCGTTTCTCAAATTCTTCGTCGCCACTGATGTGGGCCCAAAGTTGGGACCACGGAAGGAAAACACGGAACACGGATTAGAGGTAAGAAAGATATATTAAAAAAAAAGGTTACAAAGATAGTGTAAGTGTAAGCGGAGCTTACTATGTGCTAGTGTCCAATATTGGTAGTCGTACGCGGCTGATACTACGGTATTAGAATACTCTCTCTCTCTCTCTCTCTCTCCTCTCCTCTTCTCCTAGAGTGTTATATCGCATACTTTATATAGTCCTGGAAGAGTCCATGTTGACTAGAGAGAGAGAGAGAGAGATCTGAGATAGTTAATAGGACTAATACTTCAAAACTCAAATGAGAATTCAGGATATATATTTTCCAAAATCTTGGTACATTTGATGTGCGTTGACGTTTAATAATTACTTTCAATTTTCAGCGCAAGCATCAATTTGAGCAATTTGTCCGTAGTCTTCTCCCCAGCACTTATATTGGAGGCTGCAGATTCTTAG